GCGCTTGAGGTGTTAATGGATGTGGATAGTGATGATGAAGTTAGTTGTAATCATTTTTTTCTGGTCTTTTCTAATTACAATATTATTATTATGATTATTATTAGGGAATTGATATTTCCACAGGGTATACATATAAACTGTACGGTAATGGTCAAATGGATTGTAATTATGATAATAAAATTAGTCCAATACAGATCTATGGTATAATAACGATTTAAAAAAACTCAGGTTTATCTTCAAATTTCCAGTTTGTTTTTGTGTGATGGATACTGCTGAGCTCGCCAGTTCGCAACGGGACCTTGAATGTTTAATGGTAGCGCGTGACACTAATGTGATAATCTTTGCATCAAAAAGATGACAAGTTTTCTTTTTTCATTTGATAATTTTGCTAGATGAACCGAAGCTAAGACTACCTGAATGTGATTCCCCGGACCAAATATCCTTTTATCGGTCGTGTATATGTGGGAACGTTTTTCCAATGAAATGTGAGACATTAGAATTATTGTTAGAATGGGTGCCAGCCACATCACAACAACCACATTTCCGAAATCTCAGCATCCCGTTATCTATCATCCCGAGAATCCAACAACCCGACAATCCCATACATCCTGATAATCCAACTTCCCGAAAATCCAACATGTATGTAAAGCTAGGATAAGGATAAATTATTATGTGTGTTTGATTATTAACTGCAACCGGTGAGAATTTATTCATGTATGCTGATACCGCTTTTTGATAATTCAGTTGCTTTATTTAGCTTTATTAAGTGTAGCATTTCAAATTTAGTCATTATGGGGCTTGATCATTAAGTATAATAATTCATTTACAAATCTTTTGCTTTTATTGCTTCCGAATATTGAAAATCATTCTTTTATATAATTCTTATAAAGCACTTGCATAAGTATCCATTCTTTTATTTAATCTTTGCTATCTTTTTTTTAATAATATTTCTGATTAAAAATACTTGTAAAAAAATTTATTACAAAGGCATGATTATCATTTCCAATCCAGATAGTTGATTAATTTATTTAAAGATTAGTACTTTTATTATTTTGACTTCTCTTAATAATTATGTTAATTATATATTTATTTGTCAAATTATTTTGCAATTATTATAATGCATTATTATTATTAAATAAGATTTGTGTTAAAATTATAATAGCTTGTTGTAATTGTTGAAAGCTTTATTGATTAGTTATTTGTTCTCTCATATTAAACTGTTATTTCAGATTTTAGCTGCTGATACAGGATGCCCATTCTCTCTCAGAGTTTCCACCGTTAGAGATCGCTATAAAAAGTATTAATAATAAATATTATATACACGTTGCTTCTTTTATCTGCAATATGAGAAACTAGAAAATGCAAAAATGCTAGAATTAACTGTGTCCCAAATACAGGGTAGTATATCCACGTGGTATGTAAGAAAAAATTATTTAAACTGGATTTCTCCTTAATGTTAAATGTTGAAAAAATGCCAACATCACCACCACAAATAACTTTATCCACATTGACCTACACTGCATGCTATTGCGAGGAAAATGTGTATTTATTGTGTCGTAAACTCGTTTGTGATAAACATCCAGAAAACGATAAAGATTCTCTAGCATCGAGCGATTTTAAAATATATGCTGTTTTTATTTCTAATAAGAATGAAACCGTAAGAAATCTTTTTTTTAGCCTTGGCTCATTGATTCTTTTCGTTGTTATGTGAAAACTGGATATATATATTTTTTTTATTGGGTATTGATAAGATACCGTTATTTCGACAACGTGCTTCTTTGCAAGATAATGGATTTATCATCTGGGTAATAATAAAGATAATTTCATGATCGCATCCTAAAATTTATTCTGTGCTCAAAGAAAATTGACTTTTCAGGATTATCACGTAATTCTGGTATACACTCAACCAATGTATGATAAAGAAAAGAAAAAGTAGGTAAACACCAAATCAAAAATTTTTCATGTGTATGAACTATTGTTAGATAAAATAAAATAGATCGTGGGTATATGATCTAGATACAACGCTCGATTTCCCGTGTGACTTTGAGACTTATGCGCGTGAGGCGTTAATAGATGTGAACAATGATGATGAGTCATTTGAACGGTAGTAGTTTTCAAAGTAATCATTTTTTTCTAATTACAATATTATTATAATTCTACCATATTTATTCTAATCAAGGTAGGTTGTATCGAGTAATACCCGCAGAAACTTTTCTCGAGGTTTTTGCATCCGATCGATCGCATATGGTTAGTTAACGGAAAAGATGAACTACTTTTTTTAGCATGTAAATTCACAATTTGGGTCATATTTTACTTCTTGTAAGATAAATTCAGATGACGGAACTTGGATGTCACCGCCACCATTATATCCTCCTATTCTCTCATCAAAAGGTACTCGTATGAATCTTCCTCTCTTCATAGACATGATGGAGAACAAGGACTCTAAGGATTACGGAAAAGTGTTTCAGGAGGGAGAGTTTATAGAGTATTTTACATCAAAGCGGTAAAGTAGTCAACAACTTTATATCTCGTGAGCAAATTAGAGAGAGAAGTATTGAGATGGCAAATATTTTGTTAAAAGATAAAGTTAATCGATTATAAAAAATAAACATCCATTATTTATTATGAATAATTTACTGTCGAATTTACATGTCCACAATCATGACAAGTCCTCAAATTCACATTATTAGCGTACTTATCCATAATGGGTTTTAATTGTACGCCTATATCGTAGCAATGAAACGACTCGCGATATACGATATTTTTACATTTTTCACAGTACCATTGGAGAATATCTTTTAAGAACGAAACAGAGAGGGAATTAGAAATCGATTGACAGCAACGATAACGACATTCATCTATTTACCTATCTCCTGCAATCTACGTTTGCGTTCTATCACGATACCAACAGTATCGGCAAATCTTATAGGGCTATGTGGCGTGTTGCCTTTTTTTTGGGGGAGGGTCAGGTTAAATTAATACTCGCACATAATCAGGGAATAAAAATGATTATATATATATATATATATATAAAGGTTCACCAGGTAATAAGAACATATCACCCTCATGGATCGGAATTTCCTTGAACTCGTTGCCTTCGACCACCTTAAGTAGCATATCACCTTTATACTGATAGAACCATTCCTGTATTATGGACCCAATTAAGTACAGTTTTAAAAAGAATTTTAAAGGGAAAAAAAGAGCTTAACAAAAAAAAAATTCTTACTTCTGTCTGGTTAATGTGGTAGTCAGTACGAGCATTCGGACCACCAATTGCCATAACTATAAAGTCTCCTCGTTGAATGAGGAAATTGTTTACGGGTGGTTTGAGTTTGTCTTGGTTCTCCTCGAGCCACTTGGTAAAGTTTATTGGCGGTAAGAGTGGCATGTTAGTCAAGTTGTCTAACTGTTGAATGCTGAGTGTTGGTATTATGTATCGATATGTGGGGGATTGATTAACTTGATAAATATGTAAAATGGATTTTATTTTAAAAACAAGATGTTGACTGATATCATTGATAATGTACATGTGGAAGTTTTATATTACATTCATACTCGACGCACAGACCCTTTTTTTTTGCGTTCAAAGAGAATTTTTGGTTTGCAATGACGAAACTCAAAGTAATCGCATGCAAAACATTTCCTAAATCTACTCTTATTATGAATATTTAAATTATCATTTCGTTGTCGTATTCGATGTGGTTCAAATCCGGAAACCATACACCACTTTCGATTTTTTAAAAACTCACTCGACAAATTTATCTTTCTATTTCTATCTCTTTCCTTTTTCTTGGTTTCCTTGATGTTTGTTCTATTTATTTCATTTACGCTATTTCCAATTGAGTTAGAGCTTAAAAAAAAGGTGATAATTACCCAGAAATAAATATAAAAATATTCATACCATTTGTTGTTAATTTCTACCGGTTGAATTGTTTTTTTCGAGTGAGAAGTGTTTATTCTGGGGTGACTTGTGTAATTCCATGCACGAATAGGGATTTGACTTGGTTTTCTTGGTCTTTTAAGTGGTTGGATCTGCTTACTGAATAATAATAAAAAATTATTCAAACAAATAAAAATAAATACTTTTAAAGTAAAATAAAAATCTCTCACGATCTTTTAGCTGTACTCGTCTCCAAGTAAACAATTCTCAAAAATTCTCCAAAAGCCGATTCAACTTCTATCAGGAGACAAAGATTCAAGATGCGTGCGCTGCTGTATAAATTCGTTCCATCGTTATTCTCAATAACATCATCATCACCAACATCAATGATCAGATGATAACCAAATATTAAGCGTGAGTATCGAAAATTCAAAACATATACTCCTGAAAAATAACAACAATTTCTCCGGTTTTTTTTCGCAGTATAAAATTGAGTGGCCTTAATTACTTTAAACAATACAGAAGACGTTAACTATAGAATCATTTTCGTTATGCTGACATGTATGCAGAATAGAACTTACTATTACTTCCACGTGTATCCTTCTTATTACTTTCCATGCGTTCTTTTTTTATATGCCAAGCTGTACGTTCTTTATATAATATTCATTAACAGTTTTTAAACCAGCTGTCCAAATCAATTATTCATACTGAATTCGTCACTTTTTCCTAAATATCCACAAGAGGCGAAAACTCACCAACAAGAGCACGAGAGATTGGTCTACTACCAACATGTACCGCTTCCAAAGGTTGAACAGTAATATTGTTTAATTTAGGAATTTTCTCGAGAAACTCGCCAGAGAAAAAGGAAAATGGTAGAAATAAAGTCTCCATTTTTTTCGTTACAATAATTACAGACGCACGTGGTTTTAAAATTTTACTTAAAATATTTTCTTATATGTTAATAATATATAAATATATATTACATACAGTATATTAGACGCGTTTTTTCGTAAGAAAATAATTTTTGACGTATACATGAGATTTATCATTTTTTTTAAATAAAAAAAAATTATCTATTTATGGCGACACAATTGAAAATAGCGTAAATAGCGTCGCGTCTTTTTAAACAAATTAGCCACGTTATTTTATTACACATGTATATAAGGAAATACTTATCAATAATAAAATTTGGCAGTTCGATCATCAACTTGCAATCACGTTCTATCTCACCAAAGAAGTAAAACCACTCTCACGCGTGAGAATTCGATGTTCTTATTCAGTGAATAATGATAACATTTTCCTGTCCACTATCCTAAATCTTACACACGTTCAAAAACTTGTTTTTAAGTGGAATTCTAATAACGATAATAAATATCCTTTTGGAACACACCAATTCTTTTTTCTTCCGAACATTCTAAAGTTTCGAAATACATCTTGGATGTCAGCTTGGTGGCTCAGCCAGAAAATTCTACTGTAAATTTCTACTGTAATTCTATTATATTATTTATTTAAAGGTTGGTAAGGTCAAGATTAGTGATAAGAAATTATATGTAAGATTTTCTCCCAGCATCTGTTTTCTGTATTTTTGGGAATTTTTTTATTTCTTGATTTTTCGGGGCTGATCAAAGACTTTAAGCATCCTTATTGGTTGCGATGGCGCGCTGCGCCACCAACCTGAAATCTACCTATCCGAAACTCATATCGATATATAAAGCAGTTTCCTTTCTGTTTTGATTAACCGGTTGTACCTTTTATTTGTTATAAGATAAGAAACCAATCACATTCGTGTCTTTAATTGTGAATTTCCCTCGATTCTAAAACATCATTTGATTCAAATGAGATCACATGACTATCGCTTATTTTATTCAGAAATAATTCTTAAAATTCGCAATAGATTTTGTATTAAGAAATTATTATAAAGATAATAAATATGTACAGTCAAATCCTTTTTATAATCATTCGAGTTTTTCGATAATTAAAATATATTTTTTATAGTTGCATCTTTTTATAATAACAGTTATTCAATTTTATTTTGATAATTATTATTATTATAAAGATTTGATTATTAGTATCATGTTATTTTCAATTATAAAAAATCTCTGATATTCCAAAGTTATCAATTTTTTAAATTGAAATCAAAATAATTATATGATACAAATGGCTTAATCTTATTAAATACTGTATTATTACTGAATTCTTAAAGAATTATTATTTTTAAATAGATCATTATATTACTATCTTTTAGTATGAATATTTTATTACTAGTTTTAAATCCTAAATAATTATATAATATTAATAATCATGTGAATATATATAACTAAAATAAAGAGTTTTCAATAATTCTGAAGAATCTTCTTTAAGATAAAATATATTAACAAGAGTATTTTAATATAAGTTATAATTTATTAAAGATTTTATTGAAAATAAATAATAATAATCTAATTCAAGAGTATAATTTAATAAAAATATAATAAATTTATTAAGATAAATATTATAAATCTTTATTAAATTTATTAATATTTTTAATATTGTTATCATTTTAAAGATTTTACGTATATAATTATTTTAAAATAATAATAGTAACTGTATTCATGATAATTATTTACTTTTATAACTTCAAGAGATTATATGACTAATTATCTTCTTAATAAAATGATATATACAAGATTTACTTCTGATAAAATATGATTATCTTCTTAATAAGATAATTTATACATGTTTTTACTTATAATAAAAATATAATTATCTTCTCAATAAGATAATATACGTGAATTTACTTCTAACCAAAATACTCTCTCAATAGAACAAGATAAAAATAAGATAAGATATAAGATAAAATATATGTGTTTATTAAAGAAAAATACTAATTAACTACTCTTAACTCAGTAG